ACATGGCCTCCCCCGGCCTTCCCTACCCACCCACCCCCTGGTAAATGGGGTGAGGCCATGTGCCGGGGGTAGGGGAGGGCCGGGGGAAGGTCAATGGGGGGAAAAAGGAGATGTATGTACTACTATTTGTAATAGAGTAAGGGAGAGGGAGAGAGAGATAGACACATCAATGATGAGAGAGAATCACGGATCGGCTGCCTCCTGCACTCCCTTCCCCCCCACCCCACCCCCGCCCACTGGGGATGGAGCCCGCAACCCGGGCCTGTGCCCTGGCCGGGAATCGAACCCTGACCTCCTGGTTCCTGGGTCAACCCTCAGCCGCTGAGCCACCCCGGCTGGTCCTGAGGATGTATTTCTGTTGATTTTTGTGGAGAGTGGAAGGGAGAGGGAGAGACAGAGCAAGAGAAACATCAATGTGAGAGAGACATGGAACGGTTGCCTCCTGCACGCACCCCGACCGGGGCCAGGAATCGACCCTGCAGCCGAGGTCTGTGCCCTTGACCACAATCGAACCCGGGACCCTTCAGTCCGTAGGTGGATGCTCTACCCACTGAGCCACACTGCCCAGGGCACGATGATCTACTTTAGGCCCAAACGGTTGCAGAACAAACACCGAAGCCACCCAGATGTTTTTGTGCCGTCTCCGTTAAAACCTCGCCGCCCTGTGTATATATATACAGGTGTTTGTGGAGAGTATCGGTCTGTGCTTTGTGGGGGGTCAGGGTCCCGGGGGCAGCCCTGAGTCGCCGACCTCTGTCTGTCTCTCTCCCAGAATTCCTGTACCCACACCCCAACGCTTCCGCCGAAAAAGCCCGAAACGTCCTTGCTATAGACGCAGCCCCCGGAGAGCTGGTGGGAGAACAGGCCGCCAGCCAGCCGGCCCCGGGGCCCCCCAACTCCATCAACTTCTCTCTGAAGCAGTGGGGCGCCGAGCTCAGGTGAGTCCCGGGAGGGGGAGCCATTCGCCCAGGACCCCGAAAGCGGTGACGTGTGACGACACAGGTGACGATTGCACGTAGGGACGTTGTCACCTGTCATTTCGGGGTCTGCTTGTAGCTACTGTTTTTTCTCCCCCTGATGGATTTCCATTCCCCTTTGCACTTGGGTGACCAGTGTCGTGGGTTTTTACCTTTCTGGGTGCTGGTCTTTTTTGTCTTCTATAAATATTCTTTTTTTTTTAATTGACTTAAAAAAGAGAGGAAGGGAGAGGGAGAGAGAGAAACATCCATGATGAGAGAGAATCATCGATCGGCTGCCTCCTGCACGCCCCACTCTGGGGATGGAGCCTGCAACCTGGGCAGGTGCCCTTGACCGGGAATCGAACCCTGACCTCCTGGTTCATAGGTTGACGCTCACCCACTGAGCCATACTGGCCGGGCCGGGTTACACCGTTTTTGCTCATGTGAATAGCGTGGAAATGATAGTTCTTATTCGCGCTCCTTGTGCACATGTGGGAGGACGCGTCTGGGACAGGCTGGGTCTTGGGTAGACACCTTCGTCTCACCTGCCTGGGGCTGGTGTCTCCATGGAAACAGCACGCCTTGGGTCTCAGAGCGTCTGATCAGATCAGAGCCTCCAGCCCCGGGCGTGTGAGATGACGTTGTGCGTGACGGTGTCTTCTCTCTAAGTAACACGTTTCGTTTCCCCCGTAGAAACTCGATGTCTTCCTTCCGCCCGGGGAGGGGCCACGATGCTGCCTCACACAACCACTTCAAAAATACAACTAAAAGACAAAATGGACGTCATCCAGAACCACAGGAAGGCTGGCTGAGTGGAAATTCTACAGCTAGAAGGAAAGAGAAAAGCACACTGAGACTCAGAGGAGGTGCAGAAGTAAA